AAAATAGTTTGGGAGGAGTGTCTGACGCCTCTTATTCCAACAGGCTTTTACAGATTTGCTCGCGATGGAATAATATTGATTAATATATGAGACAGTTCAAATTTGACGGATTATTTTTTAAAATCAACTTTCTTTTTCTTTTATGTCAGCCAAGAAAATCATACATATTCTTTTAACAGCAAGATAATAGATAAACTATGTTTAATCTTTTCTATAGTATTTTGAGGAGACGCAATTTACTGTTTATAAGGTAAATATTCAGAATACCCTCACATGACCGGTCACGACGGTATTGGTATCGATGGATTCCTCTCGCCCTCTGCTCCCCCCCCCCCCCCCACAATCTTGGCCCCGATAGCAAGGGAGGGTATGGATGATATCAGGGAAATTGCGGAGTAATTGATGAAAAACATATACGTCAATATATTGTCATATGCAATTATGCAATCCCCCATGGCGGGCTGCTGCATCCCAACCCCGTCCTGAACAGTAAAGAATCCACCAAGTGTGTCCGGCAGGATGGAGCACAGGAGACGCAGCATCGGGCGCTTCCGCGTGTCGGTCGGACGTGAAGGATTCTTTGCCTTCCATTGCGGGGGTTGTGGGCGGCAGCTTCCCAGGAGGGGGGTCGCAGGGACATGGCACCCTGCATTAGACAATAGTGTGACTTATTTTGTGTATGTTATCATTATAGTGATCTATTCCGTGTATATTATTCACATTTCACCTCGACATTCCCTTGGTATCTTTCATTCCCTCACCTGCTATCGGGGTCGAGAATGTGGGGGTTTGTAGGAGTGGGGGGGGGGGCGGTCCTGCAAATATGGGGTGCAGAAAATGGGAGGAATTCATTGACACCACTGTTGTCGTGATCATTCTTGCGAAGGTATTCTGAACAAGTTTATAGTTTAAGCAGTCAACCTCAACTGCAGCAGGACAACTGATGCGATCAAAACTAATACGGTCGAATACTATTTTCTTTGAGCGAAAGCGGAATAGACTGGTTAGCGAGCAAATAAACATAGGAATTAGTAAAATACACCTATTGTTCTTGGGAAAACATTAAGCGTTTAGTCATTAGAAAATGGGTTTCGGAACGGAATAATGTTCAAGGTGGCAATGGCGTATGGAAATTACATGTGGCTGTCGTTACTAAATTCAAAACACAGACACAAGAAAGAAAGTAGAGAAAAGAAGAAAAAAGATCGATGCTGATTTACAAACTATTGTATGTCCTGCGTAGAATTTCTGTTTCCACTAAAGAATCTTAATATGTTGTTGTTGCTTGAGATCTAATTTCACCCGGGCCTTCTTAATTCATTTTTTGGAAATACGCAAAAATGGGCGAATAAGTATTGCCTGGATCACTTTACAACGTCGATCAAAATGTTTTGGTTAGATTTGCGTGCATTGCTGTTCCTTTCAGCAAGAATTTATAATGACGGTGATGATGATGATCATAGTAATAATACTGATGATATTAGTAATAATAATAATAATGATGAAAAATACAATAATTATAATAATGATAATAATGATAATGAAATCCATGCTTGTGCATGTGTGTGTGCATTCATACACACACATGCACGGGCGCACGCACGCGCACAGACACACACTCACACACACACATACACACAGACATACACACACACACACACACATACATCAATAGTAAAAATAATAATAATAGTAATAATAATGATATCTATGGTGATGGTAGTAATAATATTAATGATAACAAGCATAATGTAATAAAGACAAAACAAGATCAACAGCAATAATTATGCTAATAATGATAACGAGAAAAACAACAATAACAATAATAATAACAATAATACACACACGTGCATACATGCATGCATAAATACACACTAATATATGTATATGTATATACATATATATATATATATATATATATATATATATATATATATATATATATATATATATATATACATATACACACACACAAACATATTTACAGGGGCGTCAATTGGGGGATGGGGGCAGACCCCCCCAAATACTCTGTTTGCCCCCCAAACATGCAAAGCTGAAATGAAACCCCCGTATGTATGTATGTATGTATATATATATATATATATATATATATATATATATATATATATATATATATATATGTATATATATATATATATATATATATATATATATATATATATATATATATATGTATATATATATACACATGTTTGTATATATACATATAAATGCATGTACATATCTATATCTACCTATCCACACACACACACATACACCCCCTCCCCCCCACACACACACAAATATACACACAAACACACACTACTATAAGGGCTCGTATACAATACAAATAAAAAAAAAATTATGCATATTATCAACTTAAGTTTCTCCCCGTTTTTGGAAGAAACAACATATATAAATACTTAGATATATTCCTTCCCCTGGTTATAGATATTACTTATTAGTAATAATGCCTTAGTTTGTACTCTAAGATTTTCGT